CATAACACTCCTAGAGAGCATTTAATTAAAGCTATTTCTTCAATATGGAGTACTGGCAATTCAAAGACATAATGTATATGACTATGTGAAGTGGTCTAGGCAGGGTGGTCTTATGGGGGTGGGGAAATGTTAAAAGTTATTTATTTCCCCCATACATATGTATTGCTGTACACGTAATGGGTTTAAAAAAGGTAAATTTGTGGTTTTTATGAGATTCGACCTATAAAAAATTATAAAAACAAAGCGAAACGCAAGCGCTGTTACAAACAGTTGCTACTCAACGTGAGAGAATTTTTAGTTTATGGGGTCGGGGTGGGGGGGGGGGGTCTAGCCCCTCGACACCCCCCGCCTACGCCAATCTGTATACCTCATCATGACTTGGAAGAATGTGCCCTTTTTAAATTACATTCACTACCTAATATAACGTAACGTTACATTTCCATAGACCATTACCGCCTTCAGATACAACATTTTAAACACTAGCACTACCTCGCTTAAAGCTTTATAACATTGTGTAAACGACGACCATCACCACAATTACCTCATAATACGTTATGCAATATTTGTACATAACTCCTGTCTTACCTCATATAACGTTATTTATAAACCACAACAAGTACCTCATATAACGATTTATATATAACATCAGCGACACCTCATATACAACATTTACATATACTACCACCACTACTACACCATTTACGTTATACCATTTCCGTACAACAACACAAACCTCATATATCATTGATTGAAACAAGCCTCCCCCCCCCCCCCCCCCCCCGCGTTCTCACCCCCATCAACACCCAAGTCAATTTACAATAACTTAGTGACTGTGTAAATGAGTTATGCATATCACATCAGTTTAGAGAAACATTTCAGTGGAACAGTTGTAAAGACTTAAAGTGAATAATAATAAATATCTTAAAGTGAATAATAATAAATATGAAGACAAGTTACACGACTTTGTACAGTTATGAGAATTAAAAAAACTAGCTCGTCTTATTCATCAAACCACACCCAAAAGCAGAAATTTAGCTAAAGAATAAATTGCAGTCTAGCTGTGTTTTATAACCATGCTCTACAAAAATTATACTATAATTTTATAAAATATAACAGAATAGGCAATCCACATAAGCACTTCGCAGTTTATATCAATATACAGCAAACGCAAAAAGTATTTAAAATAAACAAGGAAACCATAATCAACTCTAGGTACTAGATTGAATTTAAACATTTCTTAAAATTGCATACCTAGAGCTTGATCATTTTACGTGCCTCAATACCCACAATCAGGGATTGAATAAACGAATAAATAAAACTAAAAGTCCACTTGGGTGTATAATATAATCGATTATCACTAAAAAAAACCTAACCCAACGTACACAATTTATTATCTATTATCTCATGTTATTGCAGTTCAGTTTTGTTTTTGTAAACAAATAATTCATTATAAAACTACAACAAAATAATATCAAGTTTTCGAACATTACTGCTACGGAATAGCCAAACATGACTTTCTATTGTACAACAAGGCATCCCTGCCTGCATGTATAGCCAGGTAATCGCTCACAACATCTCCCACGTGTTGCCGTCACTAACACACATCATGGAACCTAAACGGTGCTACTTATTCTCCAAAACACTGGATTAAATAAATAAATAAATACAAACTCTTACACTATATCCACATTATCCACACAATCCACGAGCCGGACTCCATTTATCCACTTATCCACCGGTCCGGCTCATGAGGTACGAAAAAAAAAACCCACGAAAAAAGTTTTGAATTTCTGAACGGTGGCAAGTGCGAGGAAGCACAACACAATAGCTTCCGCTTTTTTTTTTCTCCAGCCAAAGGAGGCAAGTCGGTAAAATTCGCCCAATCAACGGGAGGTAACCCGCTCTACATTCTCGTATTTAACTAGCGTCTGCACCCGAGTTTTTTTACCTCGATGAATGTATACAGACGATAGACAGAAAAGGGGGGGGGGGGGGGTAAGACAGCAGGTTGTTATGGCCTAGAACTACGGTGGGTATGGAGTTATTGCCCCTGGTTTCTGGGTGTAGAGTTATCGTCGTTGTTTTGTTTTTTTCTTTGCCTTAAGGCTGGTAGCAGGGAGGATGAAACACGTTAACAAACGACCAAAAGGTTGAGGGAGGAGACACGACACTGTGATGCTGCTGTCTTGCTACTGTTTTGTCTAGACTCGCTAGCCTCGACCTAATTAATTAAGTTTAATTCTACCCAATTAGTGCCTTATTTATCGGTGTTATACTCCGGATTACGGGTGCTAACTTTCTGTAATTAATGTCATTAATGTGTCTAACTATTAAAAAGATAATCAGTTTAGTATGTATGTAACATCTCGTTGTTACTGATACTCGTTCCCAAAAAAAAAAGCAACACAGAACTTATGAAAGGCTTATTGATACAAGTTTAAGCGGTTATGGGTCAAGGCGGTGAGTAGGCTTGATGCCCGCACGACAGATGTAGTAGAGTTCCGCTGTATTGTTGGATATGAGCATTACAATAATCCATTTATGATCTCCCCGACCCCGACTCTTGACAGGTACCCATTAGAGCTGGGTTGGCTCAAAGACTGTTGATATACTCAAGCAAAGACACCGAACTCGTAACTTTCGGGTTATCTTTTGGTGTGCAGTATCAGTCGACCACACCGCACACTAATAGAAGACAGACCGCTATAATTTACGATATCCCCCCCCCCCCCCCCCATCTTTTAACTATTTCAAAGCACGCATGAAAACCGACTAAAGAATAACGACAAAATAATCCATCATTTTCTTTTCTAAAAGATAATTTTCTCTTTAGAGCCTTCTACTTCAGAAATGCCATATTCAATAATCTTCCATAGCGACTGGTTAAAAGTTATCTTTTTAAAAAAAAAATCCACTTAAGATACCACGTGATTATGCACGTGATCAAGTACTAGCTGCACGGGACAAGATAAACCTACGGGCACGTAATTGGTTTATTTTGGAGAAAGTCAGGCTGGAACAAAACCAATTAAGTTTTATGTTCCACACTTGTGCGTCGACGTGAGGGGGAGGGGCAGGGCTAGAACCGGAAGTGGGAACATTATTTCCTACAGGCCGCAACTTGTACCAGAAATGTAGCACGAAGCTGTAGCTCAGATGGGTTTTGTGAGTTTCATCAACGGGTTGGTAGGGTTTGATAACACGGTAAATTATTTTCTTCGGAATATGAATAAGCTTATTTTATGAATATGTTTATTATATGCATATGCTTATTTTATGAATATGTTTTCAATTCCAAGTATCGACTGTTTATAAATATAGCAGAAAATGGTCTTTATGCGAGATTTGTGCGCGGAAACAGAAATTTACCATAACTTTTATGTTACAGCATGACAATATTTCGGACCCTTGGGGTAAAACGTAAATAACTTCGCGGAGATGTGTTTATAATGAAGGGATATTTGTTTAAATCCGGACTGAAGAAATACGTAAAGTGTTTTGGTCAAATGAATAGGTTTATGATTACAAGACTAGTCATACCGGGTCGGAGTGGTTGGGCGGTTAAACACATGGATGCTAACCCAAAAGACCAGAGGTCTTCAGCTGGGGACAGTAATAGGGTTACAAGCTCTAGTTTACTTTCGGCAGCTCTTGCAACACTGCTGGTTCCAAGCTGGGGTGATTCAAGATACGGATATCCGATAATAGACTTCTAATAATAGGTGTGTTAGGTCAATTAGGTTGTTAGTAGTATTGAAATACCGACTAGTTTTTTTTATGGTTAGAAATTAGGGTTAGGTGTATGGTATCAACAGTGATGATAGTAGGGGGGGGGGGGAGACTGATACATGGGCAACATCTAGCTCTTCTCAACTTAGGGCCCAGGCTTTGTGTTTGGATTTCCAAAGCGTAATCATCCCATAATCTATTTGACTATGGAACCACAAATACCGGTAATTTGCGATGTAGTTTGTTTATTTCAGGCGGTGTCAAGATTCACTTAAACATTTTCCCCAACTCACATCAACACTAACTAGAAATATTCTCCAAATGCAGTACAACAAGAAAATGTTTACGGTAATTAAAAAAGGTAAGATTATTAACATGGACAGCAGTCTTTGCAATATTTTTAGATCCAGCTTTTAAAAGAAAAAATGTTTCTTTAAAGTATCTTTAGATCGGCCAATTAGAGCAAAGGGTATACGCATCATTTACAAATTGCGGCAAAAAACATTTTAAACAGCGAATAGGTTTGTTGCGTTAGAGTAGTGAAGTTTGTGGTTTTTTTTTTCTTTTTGGATCTTTTAGTTGTCGGCTTTTGAGGTGGCGGTCTTTGATTTGTAGTCTTTGAGGTGGCGGGTGCTGATCTGTGGTCTTTGAGTTGAGGACTGGGGTTGAGATAGGAGGTTTTAAGTTGTGTTCTTATTAATTAGCGGTGTAAGAGCTTGGGGGGGGGGGGGGTAGATTAAGATGATGGTCTTACAGTTGGTTCTTCTGAGTTAGTGGTCTCTTATTTGAAGGTCTAATACTTGGGGGATCTCTGAGAATTGCGGGTCGGTGAGTTGGGGGTCGGTGAGTTGGGGGGTCGTTGAGTTGGGTTCGGTGAGTGGGGGTCGGTGAGTTGGGGGTCGTTGAGTTGGGTTCGGTGAGTGGGGGTCGGTGAGTTGGGGGGGTCGGTGAGTTGGGGGTCGGTGAGTTGGGGGGTCAGTGAGTTGGGGGTCGGTGAGTGGGGTCGGTGAGTGGAGTCGGTGAGTGGGTTCGGTAAGTGGGGGGTCGGTGAGTTGGGGGTCGGTGAGTTGGGGGTCGGTGAGTTGGGGGTCGGTGAGTTGGGGGTCGGTGAGTTGGGGGTCGGTGAGTTGGGGGTCGGTGAGTTGCGGGTCGGTGAGTGGGGGTCGGTGAGTTGGGGGTTCTGATTTGGGATTTGGGGGGGGGGGTGAGATGTCTGAGTTGGAGATCTGATTTGGGGGGTCTCTAATGTGGGGGGTCTTTGATGTGGGGGTCTATGATGTGGGGGTCTTTGATGTGGGGGTCTTTGATGTGGGGGTCTTTGATGTGGGGGTCTCTAATGTGGGGGTCTTTGATGTGGGGGTCTCTAATGTGGGGGTCTTTGATGTGGGGGTCTCTAATGTGGGGGTCTTTGATGTGGGAGTCTCTAATGTGGGTGTCTCTAATGTGGGGGTCTTTGATGTGGGGGTCTCTAATGTGGGGGTCTTTGATGTGGGGGTCTCTAATGTGGGGGTCTCTAATGTGGGGGTCTCTAATGTGGGGGTCTTTGATGTGGGGGTCTCTAATGTGGGGGTCTTTGATGTGGGGGTCTCTAATGTGGGGGTCTTTGATGTGGGGGTCTTTGATGTGGGGGTCTCTAATGTGGGGGTCTTTGATGTGGGGGTCTCTAATGTGGGGGTCTTTGATGTGGGGGTCTCTAATGTGGGGGTCTTTGATGTGGGGGTCTCTAATGTGGGGGTCTTTGATGTGGGGGTCTCTAATGTGGGGGTCTTAGATGTGGGGGTCTCTAATGTGGGGGTCTTTGATGTGGGGGTCTCTAATGTGGGGGTCTTTGATGTGGGGGTCTCTAATGT